ACAGATAAATATTGTCAAAATACTGTTTGCAGAGTAGATATTTATGTACACAGAAGAGGCCCCATGCATGAAATTCATGCAAGAGTAGGCCTTTCTTCCCCTGGCTGCCAGCACTGGCTTCCCTCTGGCACCCGGGACCCAGGCTTCCCTCCAGCTGCCAGCAGGCATTTAGGACCCGGGTTTCCCTGGCAGCCTGGCTTCATCCTAAAGGATGTCAGGTCTAATTAGCATATTACACTATTATTATTATAAATTGTTTTGAGGGGAACCCAGAGGTCCTAAGGAATGTGACTAGATTTTTCAAAGCCCTGTTCTCCAATGCAAAGAAGAAGAAAGCACTTTTGAAAGAAGACTATTTTAAAAAGACTGTTAATTTTAAATTTTCAGCTATTAAGAATTCAAGGACACTAAATATCTTACAGGAACATTAAATGTTCATTTTAATTACTTACTATAATTATTTGAGTATACATTAAATATTTTAAAAGTTTTAAAATATGTAGAAACAGAAGATTCGACTTTGTGTGGTGGGCCCACAGTACAGTATGCAGATCATATATTATAGAAATATATATTTGAAACCTATATAATCTTATTAATCAATGTAACACCAATAAATTTAATTATTTAAGAAAGGAAAACAAAAGAGAAAGATAATTAAAAAAAAAAAAAAGGTTTTCTGAAAGTTACTACTGATCTTTCCTAAATAAAACAGATACTATGTTTTGGAAGCTCATTTCTCCCACAACATTTTAGGAGAAACAGAATTATCTTTACCTTGCTAACAGCACATGGATATCTAAAGCGGTATTGAGAAAGAATACTAAAGTTGGAGGTATCACTCTACCTGATATCGAAGTATACTACAAGACTATAATAATCAAAACAGCATAGTACTAGTATAAAAACATACATAAAATTCAATGGAGCTGAAACTGATTTGGCTCAGTGGATAGAGTGTCAGCCTGCGGACTGAAAGGTCCCAGGTTCGATTCCAGTCAAGGGCACATAGGGGTCATGCAGGGGCAGCTGCAGGAGGCAGCTGATTGATGTTTCTTTCTTATCCATCTTTTAAGCTATCTCCCTTTCTCTCTGTAGAAAATCAATAAAAATGTATTTAAAAAAAAGAAAAGAAAAAAAAGTTCAATGGAACAGAATAGAGAACCCAGAAATAAACCCACACCTACATGGTCATTTAATCTATGAAATGGAGGCAAAACTATATAATGGGATAAAGACAGGCTTTTTAATAAATGGTGTTGAGAAAACTGAACATATGCATGCCAAAGTATGAAAGTGGATCATTTTCTTACACCCTATACAAGAAAAAACTAAAAATGGACTAAATATGTAAATGTAAGACCTGAAACCATAAAACTTCTAGAATAATACATAGGTGGTAAAAATTTTAACATCAATCAGTAATAAATCAATTTTTGGATGTGTTTCCTCAGGCAAGGGAAACATACAAAATGGGACTGTATCAAATTAAAGAGTTTTTCACAATGAAGAAACCATTAGCAACGAAAAGACAACCTGTTGAGGAGTGGAAGAAGACATTTGGAAATGATACATTCAATAAGGAGTTAATATCCAAAATATATGAGGAATTCTTACTACTTAACATAAAAAAAAACAATAAATTAAAAAATAGCAGAAGACCTGAATAGACATTTCTCCAACGAGGACATACAGATGGCCAATAGATGCTCAACATTACTAATCATCAGGGAAATGCTAATTTAAACCACAATGAAATATCACCTCACACCTGCCAGAATTGCTATCATCAATAACTAAACAAAAACAAATAACAGCTATTGGTGAGGATGTGGAGAAAAGGGAACACTTGTGCACTGTTGGTGGAATTTCAAATTGGTGGGATTGCAGCCATTATGGAAAACAGTACAGAAGATGCTCAAAAATACTATAAAACTGGAACTACCATATGTCTTAGTAATTCTGGGTATTTACTTGAAGATTTCCAAAATACTAATTTAAAAAGACATATGCTCCCCTATGTTCATTACAGCATTATTTATAATAGCCAAGGTAGAGAAGCAACCTAAGTGTCTTCCGATAAACAAGTGGACAAAGAAGAGATGGTACATATATACAATGAAATAGTAGACAAAAAAAAAAAAAAAAAAAAAAAAAGAAATCTTGACATTTGCGACTACATGGATGGACCTAGAAGGTATTCTGCTAAGTGAAATTTGCCAGACAGAGAAAGACAAATACCATGTGATTTCACTGATATGTGGAATCAAAAAAATAAAATAAATGAACAAAGAAGATAGAAACAAAATCATAGATTCAGAGAACATTTTGATGGCTTCCAGATGGCAGGGAAGCTCAGGGGATGGGTGAAAAAGGGGAAGGGATTAAGATGTACAGTTGCCAGTTATGAAAACAGTTATAGGATTGCAAAGTATAGCATAGATAACATCATCTACATATATAAAAAGCCAGTGACTGGAACACTGTGGCATCTGGAACGACCTGTCACTATGAAGCCCACTGCAGCCAGCAAACCATTCCAATCAGGGAGTAGGGCCAGCTGTCTAACCTCCCGCTGCCCCTCCCCCAGCTGGCCCTGCCCCTGATCAGCCTTTCCCACCCTCATTTGGGGGTGAGGCCCACGGGCAACCTCTTGCAGCCCCTCCTCCTGGCCGGCCTTGCCCCTGACGGGCTCCCACCACACTGATTGGCTCGCATTCCCTTCCATCATTTGGACACACCCCTGATTGCCCCCCTACCCCAATAGGGGGCAGGACCAGCCAACCTCCTGCAGCCCCTCCCCACTCCAGGTCCACCCCAGATCAGCCCTCCTACTCTGATCAGGAACTGGGCCTGCCAGCCAGCCACCCATGATTTTCTCCCCCAGGCTGCTGGCCCTCGATTGCTCCCCCCACCCCATTTGCGGGTGGGGCCAGTTGGCCCACCACCCTCAGCCCTTCCCCATGGCTGGCCCTACCCCCAGTCAGCCCCTACTTCCCTAATGGGCCCAAGGCCCCTCTTCCTATCCAGCTCCATCCCTGATCAGCCCTCCCAAAATCAATCGGGTGGTGCTGGCTGGCCAACCTCCTGCCATATCCTCCTCCTGACAGGCCCAGCCCTAATCTGCCCCAATTGGGGCCAGGCGGCTGGACCCTACCTGTGCATGATTTCATGCACTGGGCCTCTAGTCAATATTATTATAGCTATGCATGGCATTAGACAAGTACTAGACTCATCTGGGTGATTATTTTGTAAGTTATATAAATGTCTAATCATTATGTTATACACCTGGAACTATTATAATATTGTTTGTCAACTGTAATTAAAAAATAAGAAAAGTTACAAAAAAGTATCAGTTCTATCCCTGATTTACTGAATTAGAATTTGGGGAGATGGGATCACATCTGTGTGTGTGTGATTATATATATATATAAATATATAAATATATATATATATATATATATATACTGAGATTCTAATGTATGCCATTTGTTAGATATCACTAAGTGAATTAATGTATGTGTTTTCCATCCCAAGAATTTGTCAAATTGTCTGAGCCTGTTGTTTTAATATTAATAAACTTAATATGCATGTGAATAGATTTTTTCTTCTGCAAATTTTTCATAATGCTTTCAGTTCCTGAGAAATTTTTTTGTTACTTAGTGTCAATTGGTATTATAAACTTACTAATTAGTGTTACTCTGTAAAATCAATTTTGAGCAAATAATAGGTCTAGTAATAATTAATGTCGTTTTCTAATACTTTTTAAAATCGAATTTATTTAAACAATACAACAAAATTTAATCAACAATATAGTTGCCGTTGTTTTCTACTACTTGTGCCCAACACTCAGGAAGCATTTTAATCCCTCTGTTCTAAAATTCTTGTGATTTTGATGCAAAAAATTCGGTCAATGCATTTTTGAGGCATTCTTCATTATTAAATTTTTTTCCAAGAAGAAAGTTTTGCAAAGAATGAAACAAATGGTAATCGGAAGGGGCAATATCAGGAGAATATGCAGGTTGAGGGAGAACTTCCCATTCCAACTGGCGCAGTTTTTCAGCAGTGATTCTTGGCAGTATGTGGTCGTGTGTTATCGTGGTGAAGAATTACGCCCTTGCGATTAATCAGCGCGGGTTCTTTTTCTCTTAAAGCTTGGGCTAACCTTTCCAATTGGGCACTATACACTGCACTTGTAATGGTTTGGTTAGATGGTAAAAGTTCATAATGAAGAATTCCTTTAAAATTCCACCAAACACAACATCACTTTTTTCGCATGCAAGTCAGGTTTTGGCGTGGGCTGCGGAGCCTCATTTTTATCCAACCATTGAGGCCGCCTTTTCAAATTAACATACAGCACCCATTCTTCATCTCCGGTAACAATTTGCTCTAAAAACGGCAAACGGTTTTGACGAGAGAGGAGCAAACTGCAAATTGTGACTCTTTGATTACGGTTGTTGTCGGTCAACTCATGAGGAACCCATTTTCCAAACTTTTGGACTTTGCCAAGTGCACGCAATTGATTGGAAATTGTTTTTTGTGAACAATTTAAAGTTGTCGCAAGCTCTTGTTGGGTAATTTGAGGATTTTGCACCAAAAGAGCTTGAAGAGCTTCTTGATCAAAATTGGACACACGGTCTCGACCACTCTTGTCATCTAATGAAAAATTTCCCTCGCGAAATTTCTCAAACCAATGCTGGCATTTTCTGGCGCTAACTGCATCTTGACCAAGAGCACTACAGATGTTTTTTGCAGCCTCACTTGCTTTTCTTCCTAATTGGAACTCGTTAAGCATGCAGTGCCGAATATGCTCTTCATCCGCCATCTTCTTAGCCCTAGTTTTGCAACAAAAACCAAACCAAACACAAACTTTTTCAAGCAAAACTTGTTAATTGCACTTCACACGTTCTGTAGATACCACGTGTTTGAAGGTTATGTCAATACAAGTCAACGCCAAGCAAGATTTTAAAATGTTTAAAAACGACATTAATTATTACTAGACCCGATAAAATGCAGTACAAAAGTTAAAAGGCACTTCTATAACTTTTTTTCTTATTGCCCCATAGGGATAGAAGCCAGTACAGATCATCAAGTATGGTATCTGAGAACTGCAAAGCTAGCTCTGGCCTTGGCGATTATCCGCTCAAAACCAGCAGACAAGAGCAGCAGAGAATACACAGAGCACCTTGCGAGGGTAGTGTCTGGGCAGGAGTCGGAGTGGAGAGCTAAAGTTGAAAGCTTGGAAGCTGAAGTTCTGCAGTTGCGTCAAAAACTTCTTCTGAGCAAGATTTGTTCTGGATTGTTTAAGAGTGGTGAGTATGAAATTATCTTTTATTAATATAGCCATCTATTTTATTTTAGTTTCACAATTATTTAGAAACTAGAGGCCTGGTGCACGAAATTCTTCTGGAGTGTTTAGACAGTAGGTGACGGCAGAGGAAAAGGAACCATTGAAAAGAACATGACTGTCACATTAGGAGCATGTAAGTGTAGTGCACACATGATTGTTACGGGTGACAGGGACTCTCTAACTTTACTTTGGGGAACTGTCGGGAAAACTCACTATCCTAATATCCAAATGTTAATAAATAGTGTTATGTGATTTATAGTCACATTTTAGTCTTTCTAGAGTCTTTCTAGGAATGGTACCCAGTGAATGCCAAACAATCACTTTTCTCAGTTTTCTCTGTAAAGTTATGATTGACACAATGCACACATATGAAATTTTTCAGTAATCTTAAAGTGTGACTGCCATAAACATCCGTGATATCAAAACTGCTGTGGTCTATTTATAACCCTGACATAGTGACATGGATTTTTTGTTTGGAATAAGAGTGTCCCTAACAGTGAGAGCCCGAGTGATAACTTGTTCTTACACTGAAAACTCTTATTTACAATGCCTGTGAGAGAAATTTTTAAATGTCATATAATTAAAATCAGTTTACTCAGCAGGAATTACAGGTAAAGCATTTTACTGTAGATGTCTGGAAGTGATCTATCTCTCCATCTCTCCAAACTTGAAAAATAAGGAATAAATGGATTGATTCAGATAAATAGAGTTACTCTTAAAGGGGAAAGAAAAAAAAACAACCTTAAGGGAGTAAAGTAGATTGATAGGAAAGTAAGGAGGAACACAGATGTTACTTCAAGATGTGTTGACATACCTTGTTTTAAGAAAACTCCGTTCCTAAAAATCAAAATGATGTTATAGATGTATTTATATCATTAGTATTTCTTTCTGGAACTTTTAGGGTTGCTTTACATATGCAACTCTTCTGGAGTGTTTAGACAGCAGGCCCTCAATAAATGTTGAAACAAATACTTGATAGGAAGAGGAGCTGAGGAACTTAATTTACAGTATCAACTACCCATCAAAGCAACTGAGAAACCGAGAATGAAATAAAGCAGAGCTGAAATTTCCAAGTAAACAAATAAGGAAGTATGATATAATTTTTAAAGTATTTTAGGAACTCGGTTATTTAATTTCTTTTTCTACAGCTTCTTAGAGATATATATATATATAAAAAATATTATTTATTAAGGAACTAAACTATACATAGAAAGGATAAATAGAACTTGGTGAGAATTATGCCACATTTTTATTTTACTTAAATTCCCCTTAGTAGTGGGAAGAAAGAAGGAAAGAAGGAGGGAGAAAGTGAGGGAGAGAGAAAGGGAGGGAGGAAAGATCAAAGAAGCCCAGATATGCTGAAACCAGTTTGGCTCAGTGGTAGAGCGTCGGTCTGTGGACTGAAAGGTCCCAGGTTCGATTCCGGTCAGGGGCATGTACGTTGGTTGTGGGTACATCCCCAGTAAGGGGTGTGCAAGAGGCAGCTGGTCAATGTTTCTCTCTCATTGACGTTTCTAGCTCTCTCTCTCTCTCCCTTAATCTCTGTAAAAAATCAATAAAATATATTTTAAAAAAAATAAAGTAAATGCTCATTATTTAAAAAAAAAAAAAAGAAAAAAGCCCAGATATCCAGTGACATTCCTCAGAACCCTTGTGGTGATGCATGGCAGACATGGTAAGTTATCTACCAGTATATCTAGCTTTTTTCCTCCTTACTAAAGAACTCACCATTTTCTTTCTCATGCCCAGTGAGTTAACCCATGAACACCTTCGACTTATTTTGCCAATATTGTCCTAAGGTTGGGCAGCAGCCATTGAAAGGTAAAAAGCAGTCTTATGAGCTTATTTCTTAATTTTAATTATTTTATCTTATTGATTTCAGAGAGAGGAAGAGAGAGGGAGAAAGAGAAAGAGAGAGAGACAGGGAGACAGAAACTTTGATCAACTGCCTCATGCAAGTCCCCTACCTGGGAATAAGCCCACAACTTGGACATTAGCTCTAACTGGGAATCGAACCAGCAATCTGTGGGTACATGGGATAATGCCCAACTAACTGAGCCCAAAACAGCCAGGGCAGTTTTATGAGCTTTTGATAAATATTTGTTTCTTTGCTTGAGGTTCCTGAAAGAGAGCAATTATATATATATATATATATATTTTATCCTCAGTCACCCTTTTTCCCATATGAGACACTGCCACATAAAGACATGATGCCTGGAACTGTGGTGGCCATTTTGAAACTGGAGGCAATATTGAAAACTAGAGGCTCAGTGCACAAAATTGTCCCTCAGCCCAGCCTGTACCCTCTCTCAATCTGGGACCACTGGCTCCTAACTGCTTGCCTGCCTGCCTGCCTAATCACCCCTAACCACTCTGCTTGCCTGCCTCATCACTCCAACCACCTGCCTGATCATCCCTAACCTCTCTGCCTGCCTGTCTGACTGATGCCCCTAACTGCTCACCCGCCTGCCTGATCACCCCTAACCCCTATGCCTGCATGCCTGATCACCCCTAACCACTGGCCTAGCTGCCTGATTGCCCCTAACTGCTTGCCTGATTGCCCCTAACCCCTCTGCCTACCTGCCTACCTGATCACCCCTAACTGCTCATCGGCCTGCTTGATCACTCCTAACCACTCTGCCTATTCACCCCTAACTGCCTCTGCCTTGGCCCCTGCCACAGCAACTTCATCAGAAGGACCTCTGGAATAATGTCTAGATAGAGGTCATTTGGCTGTCCAGTCTAATTAGCATATTTTTTTAATTTTATTATAGATTAATGCCAACATGCTAAGGATAGTGAAATAGTAGGATAAGAAGAACCTGGGTCCTTCTCAACATTGCCGAGAGGTCAAAGCAACTCTAGGTTTACTTTATAAGGCATTTTTAGTAAGGTCAACAATGGTTTAAGCCACATGTGTCAAACACAAGGCCCGCGGGCCAAATCCGTCCCGCCAGGCCTTGCAATGTGGCCCGCACCGCGCTGTCATCACTGCACTCCGCTGTGTTTCCATCACAATGACAGTTTATGACAGTTCAGTAAACCATTCGGCCCGCAATTTAGGCTGGATTTTAGATTTTGGCCCCTTCTCTGATTGAGTTCGACACCCCTAGTTTAAGCCATTGTTATCCATGTATTCCCTTCCTTGTATCTGAGCACATCCTAATTTATAGAGCAGGGAGGTAGGGGGAGAAGAGGGGTGATGAATAAATTAGAGCAACACTAATTTTTCTCCCAAGAATATTCTTGATCTACAGTGGATAAGATTAAAGAGAAAAACTATGTTCTTTAATCTATTACAGTTTCTTAAAGATGCTTTGTGATGTTGGCAACCGTTTCACCTAGGACTGAATAGGTGGGTGTGTGAGACCCAGAGCGAAGAGATAGGCCAGGGAGATGTTAGTGACTATTCTTCAGTGTTGACTAGGGATTGAAAGTTCAGGGTGTCAGGAGCAGTGCCTTGTTGAGTGAATGTGTGTGTGCATGCGTGTTTGTGTGTGTGTGAGTTTGTGTGTGTGTGTGTGTCAGAGGGGTGGGGGAGGCAGGCAAGGGGAATCTGGAGTTTGCTATTACACTTGTATAGCAATTTGGCATTCACAGGAGGGAAGTACAATAGATGGATGAAGTGTCAGGTATGTGCTTTTCCCCTTATAATGTTATGTACTCAGTGTGTCTTTAGAAATGATAGATAGGCTACTGGAGGAGTAACTGGCTAGAGTAAAGAGAAAGTGCGAGAAATTCAAATTAAATTAAGTCATTGTTTTATTTGTAAAACTCACTGAATACAGAGATTGTGTGGAGGTTGTGTGCAGAGCAGTATAATTAGTTTAGGATGAATTTAGCTCATCTAAGATAAGGGTCCTGTGAAACAACCCTTCGAACCAGATAGCTTTGGGTGTGTCCCTACCCTTCTAGCTGTCCCCTTTGAGTGCCTTATATCCTGAAGATTGAGTTCTTTGCCTTCCCTAGACCCAGCTTCTTGGCTTATGTGAGTTTATATTTAAGAAAAGATTCTAGCTACACTGGTGTTGACCAAGAGTCAGAACAGTGGCTGGATTTAGCAGCTGCCCATGTGCACCTCATCAGAACCAGCATGAACCTTGTCTTTCTCTACTGATGGTTACTTTTCTGCCCCATCTCTTTGTTCTCACCTTGTCTCAGGTCATGTACTGGGAAGACATGGCAAATAATTGCCTTAACAGCTCAGCATTTATATGTTGGAGCGCTCACAGTTTTATAGATGCTACAAGAGCATGGAAAATTAATGCATAAGCATTTCTTTCTTAGTTTTCCCATACTAGGTCTTCTAATATAAATTGTCAAATATAATAATAGACATTTACTTAAAATTGCAGTGGATTTAAAACATTCATGCATAATATACATAAACATCCGAGAATGTGTCCTTAATTTAATATTGGTTTTAATGAAAGGCTCCCAAATAAAATAGAAACAGGCTTATTTCTATGCATAGAATAGACTGATGGTTGCCATAGGGGAGAGGCAGTGGGTGAAAAAGGTGAAATGAAAAAATAAAGAAAGAAAAGAAAAAGGTGGAGTGATTAAAAAATACAAATTGGCAGTTACAAAATGGTCATGGGGATGTAAAGTACAGTATAGGGAGTATAGTCAGTAACATTGTAATAATTATGTATAGTGCCAGGTATGCTTGAAATATTGGGGAGATATCTTTGTAAAGTATATGATTATCTAACCACTGTGCGAAACTAATTCTATCTAATAAAAGAGTAATATGCAAATTGACCATACCTCCACTATACCCACAAGCCACACCCACAAGCCAATCAGGAGTGAGTCTGCAAATCAACCCAACCTAGATGTCTGTGGCCACAGAGCGAGCAGGAGGCTTGGGTTTCCCTGATAATAGAGGAAGCCAAGCTTTCTGCACACCCTGGCCTGCCTAGGCCTTCACTCAAGTCAACAAAGTTTCAATTATAGAAG